GGTGGAATAGACAGCCTTGGAGGCAGGAAGTACCCTATCATTGGGAGAACTAGTTAGCAAGGACCTAGTAGAAGGGATTCAGCATCAACTTGATCACTTTTTAAAGGTCCTCTCTAATCTTGAGAGTCTATAATTTTATGAACTCCCACTATTGAGAATCTGTATCAAGGGAAGATTTCTGAGTACAAAATAGACCTTTGATTATATCACTCCTGCTCCAAAGTCCTCAGTGAGATCCTTTCATCAACTGAATTAGTAAAATTCCTTAGTTCTTTGTACTTTGATCCAAACTTAGTCTTATCCATTCCTCTTACTCTGTACAGCAGTTCCCAAGTTGGTTTCTATCATTGTTCTAGGATATGCAAATAAACAATATGTAGAACAAGTGTTCTGTGTTCGAATATATTTGGGAAATGCTGGTACTGAATCCTGCCCTTGATTCTGATTGACATGAGAAAGCTAAAAGCTCTGAGAAGCCTTGCCATGAAGAAATTTGTCTAATATTTTAAAAATTCAGCATTTCCCATACATGCATGAACACAGGATACTGTATTTTTCTTTTTTCATGGCTATTAACACTACAGAGCAGTTTTCCATTTGTTATTTTCCTATTCTCTTCTCCTTTTTTCTTTTTTCATCTTTCTTCCTCTTGTGTGCTATTTTTCTCCCTCCAACTTTATTCCTAAAACCAGCATGGGGAAGTAGTGAGAGAAAGAAGTAATTAGGCTGTAGAAATGCGGAAACAATTTGAGACCACATGATTCACTCCCTGTAGCTCCTGGAAAATAGAAAGATAAGGAGGCACAAGAATCTGGGAGAATATGGATGTGAAAGGAGAGGTTAGATAGAAGAAAGTGCTTTTGACACCATGAAATTTCTCATAGTCATTTTGTAGTTACTTAGTTATTCAAAAAGTGAATCACTGTTTTATTGGTAATCTGGCCTTTCTCCTTGTAATTTCTGGTTTTAGCTTGTGTTCCGTTTATGGTACCATCTGTTGAGTCAGACAGTCTTTAAGCATGTGAATAATAAATGCAGTTGGTATCCCTAGAAAAAGTGACATTACCTATGTGAGGACGGTAACACCCCGACTTGGCCATTCCTTGTTGCCTTTCTCTAGGGAGTTGGATTATTTTTCAGTGTCTGGAGCAGTTAGTGACACGTAACAAGGAATGAAGGTAAGAACTTATTATTCAGTCTATTTATAATCATTTTTGAGATAGATTCTCTGCTTCCTTACATATGAGACTATCTCAGAAATATTAGTTTTCTTTCCTGAATCACCCATATGAACCATGAATATGTATCTAAAGATATCTGCAGTCACAGGCAACTTATTACTTATTGAGAATAATAATAGCCAGAGGGTATAGCTTAATGATTCAAGAATCAGCCTCACATAAAGACTTTATCTAGTCTCCCTAGAAACCAACAATCAAATCTCATCAGGGTCAAGTTGGCCCTTTTCATAATAGATAAATTGAATAACATGCTGTTTAATTTGTATGTGTGTTATTGAATGAATCTATGAAGAGTATTTGGTCTGCATATGAAAGATAACCACTATTGTTTTGGTAAGTATAAGGATGTTATTTTTCCTAAATTATTTAACCTTGGATAATTGAGAATTCACTAGTGTTTTGTAAGATTGTTTTTAATAGTTAAGCAATAATTGGTTAATGAGGAATATTTTTCTGGCTAGATTGTCTTTGGTTTTTTGCCTCCTTTTGGGCTTGAATTTTAGGGAGTAGAAAATGCTGGATAGTTGATAGTATTTCTATATGTGACATTTCCAATGTTGTATGCCATTTTTCTGACTGTTATTTGGAAAGATAAAATTACTTAAAAAACCGTTTTCGGTTTCTTAAAAATGTTACAGATTGCCCAAAACCTAAATGTTCATTGCAGAAATTTTGGAAAATACAGGCTAGAATAAAGAAGATGAAAGTTACCATTGGTCCTATTCTCAGAAATAGCTGCTGCTAACCACTCGTAACACTGTAGTTAATATTCTCTCAGCTATTTCTGTGTGTGTGTGTGTGTGTGTGTGTGTGTATATATATATATATATGAATATGTATGTATATGTATATAATAAGTGTCTGTGTATTCCATTTCTAAAGTACCAAAAATTTAGTTCCCAGTATTTCCCTGCTAATAACATTGCTCTAACCGTTCTTTTGTAAATCTTTGTATGCACCTCTTATTTCCTTACATTAAGTTTCTAAAGGTGGAATTGTTAGTTCAGAGAGTGTGAAACTTTTAAGGTGCTTCATTGATATTCCCAAATTGCTTTCTAGAAAGGTATTGTGTTTGTCTGCTTGGGTTGCCATAATAGAATACTGCAGATAGGGTGGCTTGAACAGACATGTCTTAATTGTTTTGGAGACTAGAAGTCCAAGATCAGGGAGGCAGTAGGGTTGATTTCTGGGAAGGCACTTCTCCCTGACTTGTAGATGGTACCTTTCTCTCTGTGTCCTCACCTGACCCTTTCTCTGTATGCATGTACAGTAGAGAGAGGGATATCTCTTGGTGTCTTGTTCTCTCTTTATAAGAACATCAGTGTTTCTGAAGTAGGGCCCCATCCATACCTTAAGTATCTCCTTAAAGATCCTTTCTCCAAACACAGTCACATTGTGGTATGCTAAGGCTTCAACATATGAATTTAGGGGGACACAATTTAGTCCGTAACAGGCGGTAACATCGGCACCCTATCAATGAATGAGAGTTATCATTTTACCATCTTACTGCCAACACTGGGTCCACACACCACACAGGCCCACATGTATGTATCACTGCTGATTTGACAAAGATGGCATCATTTTTGCATTTTTTGATCATCAGTTTGAGTAAAAATAAAAAAAAAAATTTGAACATTGAAATTTTTTTTTTTTGAGAGGGCATCTCTCATATTTATTGATCAAATGGTTGTTAACAACAATAAAATTCTGTATAGGGGGGTCAATGCTCAATGTACAATCATTAATCCATCTCAAGCCTAATTCTCGTCAGTCTCCAATCTTCTGAAGCATAACGAACAAGTTCTTACATGGTGAACGAATTCTTACATAGTGAATAAATTCTTACATGGTGAACAGTACAAGGGCATTCATCACAAAAACTTTTGGTTTTGATCACGCATTATGAACTATAAACAATCAGGTCAAATATGAATATTCGTTTGATTTTTATACTTGATTTATATGTGGATCCCACATTTCTCCCTTTATTATTATTATTATTTTTATTTTTAATAAAATGCTGAAGTGGTAGGTAGATGCAAGATAAAGGTAGAAAACATAGTTTAGTGCTGTAAGAGGGCAAATGTAGATGATCAGGTGTGTGCCTATAGACTAAGTATTAATCCAAGCTAGACAAGGGCAGCAAAACATCCACGGATGCAGAAGATTTCTCTCAAAGCAGGGGGGGTGAGGTTCTGAGCCTCACCTCTGTTGATCCCCAATTTCTCACCTGATGGCCCCCCTGCGACTGTGCCTGTCTTAGGTTGTTCCTCCCTTGAGGAATCTTACCCGTCTCTGACTAACCAGTCATCTTCCGGGGCCATACAGGGAAATGTAAAGTTGGTAAGTGAGAGAGAAGCCATACTGAACATTTAAATTTTTTGTCAGTTCTTTATTCTTGCACTTTGACCATTTTTTTGGTTGGGGTTCTTAATTGCCAGTAAACCTACATTTTCATTTGAGTGTTTATAGCTATTTTGTATTGTATCAGACATTTTGCTCATACAAGAAAAAGGACTCATATTTCAAAATGTTACTTGTCCTTTGATATTAAACTATTATGTACCTTTAAAATACAGCAAAGTATACAGAGTTAATATATATGAGTGTCCATATTGATGAATAATATGTTTAATGCTCACCATACATTTATAAAACCTGTTTATAGTTTGGATGCATTGATTTGCTGGCAGTGAAATACACGTAATGGCAAGGTTAATGCAAAATCTTTCCAGCTATTGTTTGCTCTGAATGAACAAATACAGCAGTGTTTCTCCTGAGAAGTGCTCCTCCGAATTCTGATCCTGTAAGGTGTCCAGTGAGAAGAGAGTTCTGTTGGTAGCTCTGGGAACTGCTTGCATCCTCTCTCTCCCACCTAGTGGGTGACAGTGCTCATCAGAAATTTAAAGGCTCTGAAAAGCTCTATAGGAAAGAAATCTATTTGACTTTTCCAAACTGAGTACTTCCAAAACTTCTTTTGGCAGGGGGACATCTCCTTTTTTTTTCTCTGTATTTATGTGATTTTTGTCAACTGTTCATTTTGAAGTATTTAAACATTTATAGGAAGTTGTAAAGAAACGTACAGGGAGGTCCCATGCACCCTTCCCCAAGTTTCCCCTGATGGTAGAATCTTGCATAATTGTAGTACAGTGTCACAACCAGGACATTGACATTAGTACAATCCACAGAGCTTATTCAGATTTCAGTTATACATGCATTCGTTTGTGTGTGTGTGTGTGTGTGTGTGTGTGTGTGTAGTTCAGTGCAGTTTTATCATGTGTAGTTTCACATACAGCACCTGCACAAGACTTCCTTGTGCTAGCTCTTTATGGTCAGGCTGCTCTACCTCGTTTCCTAGCCCCTGGCAACTGTTGATACATTCTAAACTTTTGTTTTCAAGAATGTTATATAAATGGAATATTAGGATATGTAACCTTTTGAGATGGGTGTTTTTCACTCAGTTATAATTCCCTTGAGGTTCATCCCAGTTGTTGACATGCACCAACAGATTCTTTCTCTTTAGTGCTGGGTAGTATGTCATGGTATATTTCACAATTTGTTGATCCATTCACCCATTGAATGGCATTTAAGCCCGCCCCCCACACTTTTAATGGAATCTATTAACACCCTGTTTGAATGTTGTTCTGAAGAATACCAACTTTAGAAATTCTGTACCACAGAAATGATACAATTAAAGAATTACCATGTTCTAAAAATTATGCCTGGTTGCAGAAATTAAAACTCTTTTATTTGGTTTAGGAATTCCAGAGACGCTGTAATACTCTTATTTCATTGATTGAGAAAGAAAATATGGAAATTGAGGAAACAGAGAGAGCAGAAAAGAAGAAACGGGCAACTAAAACTCCAATGGTAAAATTTTCAGCATTTTCCTAACTTTTAGGTAGATCCCTTTTTTTTACATAATTAAAATGCCTATATTATGTTTAATGCCATAGTGATACCTATTATAAAAACTGGTTTTATGAAATGTTAATTTGTTTTTGACAGAAAAAGAATTACACTACAACTACATGTTTCCATTGTCTGTAGAACATATGGTTAGGCACTCCCTAATAACAGGGCTCAGTATTTTAAAAAAATTCCTCATGACTTTAAGCAGAAGTACAATGCAAGTAGCAGCCTTTGAACTGAGTTGTCGTTGGGAGTAGGAGAGGGGTGGGGTAGGATGGGATAAGGTTGGGTTTGAAACTGGGAGTTCTGATTTTATCAAATAAATTTTATGATCTTTATGGAACTATGAGTGCTATCTGAGCAGACAGCAAAGCTTTACTTAGTAATAAGTTAATATGATGACTTGATTTTAATCCAGCCAGGTTTCCATGTATAGCTATAATTTAAAATGCTTTTTAGTAGATCATATTATTTGAGTGTGGTTAAGTAAACTACCACATTTCATCAAGTCTAAGATGCCTTCCATTATGACACAGCATTATTTTACGTACTACTAAGAAAAACTGCTACCAAGTAACTATAATTTGTCATCAATTGTAATATGCACCCCAATATCAGAGATGTGAAAGGGGAAAAGAAATGTGCATCATAGAATACATGAAATATGGTATTTTAACATCTATCATAAGGTTTTTAAAAATAATACACTCATAAATAACATTTTGCCCAGAAGTCTTTAAGTATTAAGTAGTTCTTTAAGCTAAGAGTACATTTATAGTACCACGTGTAAGTAGACACTCTGACTATTTTTGATGGGTATTTTATGTCTTTTCTTTAAAAAAAAACATCTTGGAAGGTTATTTTACACTGGGTTATATAGTTTGTTGGGCTATATAGAGCATTAACTGTGAGTATAACATTTAAGTGAATATTCATGTTAAAATTTTTTTTTAATGCATTTACATCCTAGATTTAACATTGTTGGGCCATTTAAAAATGTGCATATTGGAGCAGAACATTAAATCTGTTTCCATTTTAGTCACAGAAAAGAAAAGCAGAGTCAGCTACTGAGAGCTCTGGAAAGAAGGATGTCAAGAAGGTGAAATCCTAAAGCCTAGAAATAAAGTTTTAAATGGGAAAGTGCTATTTTCTTGTTCCCATCTTCAAATGCTAATTGCCAGTTCCAGTGTATTGATGGTACTTTTAAGAAAAATCTCTTTGGTTTTGATTTCTTGCATATTTTATATATTTTACAATGCTTTCTACCTGAAATGTGTAGCTTTATATTTTACGCATTCTAGTATTTTTGTGTACTGTATTTTGTGCATTTCATGTCTTCATCGAAATCCTCTCAGTCCTTGTTCTTTTGAAGCTTGTGCTGAGGTTTTAGCTTTTCTATGTTTTATATGCCGCTGCTTTGAAAGAGAACCTAGATTCTATAGCTGTATTATTGTTGTTTCATACTTTAAATTTATATGGCTGTGGAAAAATACATTAAACTGATTTGAGGAGAAAGACTTTTTCACTTCTTTGTTGCTTTCTTTTCTATTGAGTATGGGCTTGTTTGTGTTACTACATACTGTGATTAGCATAATACTTGTTTCTTTGAGGTCATCTAAATATTTTTTTCTTAAGGGAATAAAGGGTGAGAACAGAAAAATATTAAAAAAACTAATACTTGATACTGTGCTTGCTGTCAGTATGCATTACATTTAAATTATTCTCTAAATATTCAAGTGGGAAAATATAATAAAGAAATGTCTATAAGAAATTTAATTATTTCCTGTTTTTTGTGCAGTAGAAAACAGTTGTGTTTACTGAATTGTATTGCTCACTACTGTGTATTTGGTTGAAAGTTAAAGCTTTGCTTGCTGACTTGTGCTTGAGCTTTTGTCCCAAAGAGCCAGTTCACAGGAGTCTGGGTATAACATATGAGATTTATTGACATCTAAATTAAGAGTATGAAATAAGGGCTATGCATGTAGAAGAAGGGGAGCTGTCTCCTATAGGAATATGATTATGCTCTGAGAACAAACAATCTTGAAGTATCAGGGGTTTTACACACCAAGCGTTTATTTCTTGCTCACATGGCAGAGCCTATGCGGGTCTGAAGGATGTGAGAATGAGAGGATCTGCTCTGCACAGTCACTCAGGGTTCCAGGCTGACTGAGGCTCCAGTTTGTAAATGCACCATCTGGGACATGTGGCTTTTCCAGGTGCCACTGTAGAAGAAAAAGGGAGGCTGGAAAATTTCATGTAGTCTCCTTATTGCCTTAGCCAAGAAGTGGCACATGTCACATATGCTTATATTTCATTGTCCAAAACTAGTCACCTAGTCCTGTGTACATGCAAGAGGGCTAGACAATATAGGGGAACAAATGGCTGGTTTTACATTACATTTACTGCCTGTGCCACAGGGGCTGACGATTCAGGTAAACCTGAAACTGTTAGTTACATGAAACTTAGTGTGTGATTAATCAGAGTCAAGGTCAGGTAATAGGGGAACAGGGAGAACAGATTAGAATCTAGTGTGAAACACAGCAAATAAGCAAAGCTGGGAATGCAGGACAGTGGTGTTAGTTATTACAACAAGGTTTGTAGTGCCAAAGAGTTGCTCCCTCCTACCAAGATCTTGTGCATTTCCTGTCAGACTCTGTTTAGTGTACCACTGGCAAAACTTCAGAAGCCCTGAGTGCACATCAGAACTTTTCACATCGTCAGTCTTCTTGTAGGGGTTCTGCAGCATAGGAATAGATCTAGAATGAAAACTCGCTATATGCTGGAGTCTTCCAAGTTTTCATTAATTGTCCAGATTTCATATTTCTTACAGCCATGCTCTGATTGGTTTCTTTTTACTGTTTCCACTATTAGGACTTAGACTCTTGTACTCTGTTGGAGGTTGGGGTGACATTACAGTGCTATTAGGAGATGAGATTAGGATGATAATACATCAAGGATCCCAGAGGCATCCCAATCCATCCTTGGCTTAAGTGCCCTTTCTCTGTAAGGTCCACAAAGGAGGCAAAGGTAAGCAAAGTAATGCTTTACTAGCTGGTGCTTTGGCTCCAAACATCAATCCAGAGCTCTTAAACCCAAAATAAAATCTTGGAATTTTCCACTCCAATGAGATTAAAAGCTACAGTCACTTGAGCTGGAGAAAATGATACCTGAGAGGGTCTTGTTGATAACCCCAAGTTCCGTCCTCTGAAAAACAGCCCAGTGAGGGTCCTGGACTCTTGACCAAATGAGTTCAGCCTTTCTTTTCTTAGGGAGGATTAAGGATGGAGGGTGGAAGCAGGTACAGCTGGGGTCTTTGAACTTCTTTAATGGAAATTTAACGTACTCTACTTCTTGTTCTTCCTCTATTAACCCCAAAGTGGTTAACAGCTAAGCTGTATGTGACTATCTACTTTAGGGGAGAAAATCTGCAGGTAAGTTCTTTCAGCTCTTTTCATGCAGCCTGATCCATATCATGGCTCTTAAAAGCCTTTCTTGGACCAAAGAGATGTAAACAAAGATGTTCAGTGAATGCCTCTGATGTCATCCTCAGAAACTTGTGGAACAGTTTTATTCAGGATGTTAACTTAAAGACTACACTATTTATTTAGTGGAAAATTCACCACCCTATTCTCTTTCTCATCTTACATTGTATACAGCATTATTGTTTAACAGAGCCTACCAAGGAGGCCCATATGATGAGCACTAGATGATAGCATAGTCCAAAAAATACGATGTTTGGGATACAAAATGCCCCAAGTCTCTCTATGAAACCTCTCTTATTGCCAATTGTTTACAGAGAAAGTGCTGTGGAAAACTAGAAACTCCCAACAAAGAAATCCCATCTTCAACAAGAGACTATACTCATGGGGAAGTAGCCCTAGACCTGGCTGCCATGTTGGGGAGGAAAAACAGGATAGTCAGTTTACCTTGTCAGCTTCTTGGAGGACAGAAGAAGCAGAAGAGAGTGCTGTTTCTGTGAATGCAATCTTATTATAAATGCACAACGATCCAGCCCACCAGCAAAAATGGTCCGTTTGATTGTACTGGAATCTGACTCAACCTGATGACTTATCTGCAGAATGTGCAAGGAGGGAAGTGAGTAAAACAACAGAGACCCTGAGGTCTTTCCTTCACTCAAGTCCTCTATGGAAGACAAGAGGTGAATAGGTTTCCTAATAACCCTCAGGCTGCACCAGAGGTCCTGAGAAAGCATCTGTCTTGATCCGTTGGATACTAGGGTTCCAATTTCTTTAGTATCATGGGGAGGTCATGAGCTCAATAACTTCTCATTTCATCATAGCTCTTTGTATATCAGTCTTTATTCCATAGTTCTTGTTCCTAGGCTCCCTGGCCTATGAGTGATTATGCCAAATGGAAAACCTGGACACTGGTCAGAGCACACAATAGTCCCAAGAAATATGCCCCCAAATTTGGTCCCTTGTCAGATCTCCCAGTTAAAAGAAATTATTGAAACAGAATCTTTGCAGCTGTCTTAGTTGGTGGGTGTTTGGTTTGAAAAGCCTCCACCCAAATGGTGAAACTATTTACTGTCACCCAATAAAATGCTGTCATTGCCCAATTACTAGCAAAGGACCCCTCTGTTGTCTATTGTTCCTCCTCTATAGTGCAGTAGCCAATGCAGCTAGTTCTGCTCCTGGGCCATTTTCAAGGCCCATGATAATGCTGGTGGCTATGTTGTTTTCTCTCCAGATGTTCTTATCAACTCCTGAAATCCTCAAGTTGCCATCAATTTTCAAACTTCCATCAGTATTCTGTCCTATGTGTCCTTCATGTAGTCTGCCTAAGCCACTGTCCCCAAAAGACAAGGGGTAAGATTTTCCTGTGGTTCAGACACATGTAACTAATGCTGTCTATCATGTCCCCCATCCCTCAGCCTTACCATTTCTGTGTGCTCCAGCTGATTTCTGCAAATGATTTATTTGAGGACTTTGTTAGAC